ATAGACAAGATAAAAGTCTGAATTTTGTGAATGCAAGAACTTGAGTGGCAACAAAGCAGCTCTCATTGAGTAAAATTTGTAGAACTGTGTGTCCTCCCTCAATGAAGACCTGCTTTCACCAAAAAAAAGCAGATAGGGTGGTCTGAGTGGTTCTCTGCTAAAAATATTTGTACAGACAGAGGCACCATCATCTAAACAATGAGCTTTTTATTCCAAAGCAGACGTGAGGAGATGGACGGGAGTGAGGAGGAGGAGGAAGTGAACCACCCCAAAAGACACACCCCCTGCCTGCGCGGTGAGTGAAAAAGCAAACCAAGAATCCAACACAGATATAGATTTATATAGAGATTTCAATATTAAGCTGCAAAGGTCTGAAAAGAGTACAGTAAACACTGGTCACACATGATAGAAAGGACTGGTACTGTGAGGCCAGCTGCCGGACACGCACCACCACAGCCTTCCATTCAACACAGCAAAAACACCATAGGGAGGAGAAAGCCAGTGTACAAACTTAAAGGTGCACTTGGTCACTTTTCTGATGGAGGATCAGCCGTCCTGTTTGTCTCCATGGAGATGTTAGCACTTTGTCTGGAATCATTAGAATCAGAATAGCTTTATTGTCATTGTCAGCGAACAAAATCACAAACTAGGTCCCACAGTATGGAATTAACCTCATCTATCTCCATGGAGACGAGCCAGAGACACCACCAGATCAAGTTCCAGGACAGGTCTGCGGAGAGGGAACCCTACCCAAATGTGACTTTTTGGAGCTTTCTACAATGTCATACTGTTCCCTCATCAAACACATGCCGGAATAGGTTTTATTATTTCATCCATGTTTGAGTAATCTAGTGATCTCTCATGGGTCCTGCTGGATGAATCTGTACAACGCTTAACCCAGACGTCTACATCACCCGTTTCCATGTGTGCATAAATATACAAAAGTATTATACCAAAGAATACACTACAACTTCACAAACCTGATGCGACGTGCTGATTGTGTTGTGATAGCACTCTGAAGGGGGAGTGACTTTGTGTGGGGAGCAAAGGATGCAGGTAACATGGTGATCTGTTATATGAATATGTAATGTGTTAGCAGTTAATACCCCAGAAAAAAGATGTGTGTATTTCAAAGTATTTGTACAAGCAGTAAAAACACCACTAATTCAATCAGTTCATGTTTAATTAATGCCATACTGTGAAAATTTTCAGGCACAGCCATAACAACACTATAATGAGAAATCCACCAGAAAAATCACATAGTGCACCTTTAAGGAATATAGTTCACAAATTAATCACATTTGAGCTTCACTTAAACAAAACAGTTCAAATTGGCCATTGTTTAAAAAAAATTACAAGGTTCAAACCCGATCGTGACTTTTACAATATAAAAATTCTTTGATTGTTAAATGAGTCACTTGTTTATACTGACAGGTGAGGAGGGGAGGCGTGCGTCCGACAGCGTGTGCCCTCTGCTTGCGTTGGCCCCTGAGCCGAGCTGGGGGCCCGAGCCGACAGAGGGGAGCAGGGGATGGGGGTGGGGCTGGGTCCTGTACAGGTAAAGGGCTTCTTCTGTGGCTCCTCTCTCCGGCGCTGGCGTCTCTTCCACCGCCCCCTACAGTCCGCTCCAGCACAGCACACCAGCTCGGAGAAGGACCCAGCGTGGCGCGAATGACCGCTAACTCAAAGTGTGAAGTACTTCTAACCTTCTGCTTGTACAGGTCGATGCAAATATACAATGATTACAACCGTCAAAACAACGTCCCCAAGGCATGTGACCCAATACACTCCCAGTCATTTACATCCAAACATATCCAGGGGGACTGGGTTGACATCTCGGGCAGAAGTGGTACGGTGATGGCTCTCCAGTACTCAGACCAGTGAAGCATTTGGTATTCTTCAACATATGGCTGTTTCTGACGGGACAAGACTCTGCGGTGGTCCCATGGCGGTCCCATGGCGGTGTCTGGCGAGCTGAAGTGTGTGACGGGCGGTGGAAGCAAGGCCATGAGTCCTCCACTTAGTATAAAAAAAACTGTCACTCGTGAGTCCAGTGCTGTAAACAGGCACACCAGATCAACAAACAGGCGCGTGATTGGTCCCTCCACTACAGCTCTCCACGGTGGGGCGTAGAGTCCGGCTCCGCCCCGCTCTCCCCGTGTTCCCAACAGCACTCCAGGGCTGGCAGTGGTCCCGCTGAGGGGCTCCCGGAGGCCCCTGGTACTGTGTACATACTCTGTGTGGGCCGGGGCTGATTGTGCAAAGTCACGCTGTGTCTGGGATGTCCATGCGGAATGAGCTAGCAAAGCCTTTTCCTCTCTGCAACAAACAGAAAAAATACATTAAGCACAAGCTCATTCTGTTCCAAGGGAAAATGCTCAGAGTCCCTTAGTGCCATAACGAGGTCTCTTGAGTTCTGTACATTGTGCTGTGTACATTTCAGAAGGAAAGTCCATGGGCGTTTGGAATGTTGAATTTCCAAAATAGAAAATAGGATGTGAATAAAAGCAAATTTTTGAGCGCCTGCTGACCAGCTCACACATCACGGCCACCGCACACTCAGTATGCACACAGTCACAGTTCCACACTTAATGGACGTTTCATTTTCTTCTTTATTTCCATGATTATTTACACAGTAGATTTTCATTGAAGGCATCAAAACTATAAGTGACACACGTGGAATGTAGCAAACAAGAAACTCAGAAGAACTCAAAACATGTTTTAGATTGAAACCATTTAAAATAGCCTCCACCCTTTGCTTTGAACCCAGGTTTGCACTTTTGGCAGACCTTAACCCTGACGCAGCACAGCTGAAGCGAAAACCATTTCAGGAAACTTCAACATGAAGCTCATTAAGAGAAGGACAAGGGTGTGCAGCACTGTCCACAAAGCAAAGGGAGGAGACTTAAAAACATCTTTGTTTCTTTGCTACATAATTCCATATATCATCCATCATATTTATTTTGTGTTCTGGGTGCATCTAAAGCAGTACACAAAGAGAAAAAACATGAATGAGAGGGTGTGTCCAGACTTTGGGCTGATCATTGGGTTAGAGGAAATTTGACTGAAATGTCTTTGAAAAGAGGGCAGGAGTGTGTTATAGACCACTATTACACCATATCAGGCAAGTTTATATTATATTTAACGTAATTACAAGGATTTTACTGAAGATTTTTACTTTGTTTTTCTCCTTTTGAGCTTTTGGTGAAGATTATAAGTGTACTTCCTTGGACATGGGCAGCAGATGTAACATCCTTGGAGGTAAGTTCATAACTGTTACCTAGCAACCACAGTGTAAATAACAGCTAAAAGCCCGTCCAATTTACACAGTTCATGTGCTTCAGCTTTCTGTTTACTGTGAGAACAAAAATGTGTGGCCTCATGCTCCATTGGGCCACTGCAGTACAGCCACCAGCTTTCACTCACATGTGACTGACTGCAGTTTGCAGTGACAAAATGATTCCTTACATATCAGGCATTCTGGGCATCCTCATTTTTCAGTGAGTTTAAAAAAGCCAGACCAGTGCAGAGTTTTACTGTGACCCTAATAACAATTAGCACACTAACATACAGTTTGTGATAATGAAGCTCTTCATAATGACATGCAAACAGTACACACTGGACTTATTTTGACCTCAACATCTGCTTAGACAATATATATCAGGTTGAGAGACGGGGATGAGACGGACTGATGTGGGGTGATTTGGGGTGAGGAAGTGGAGCATCCTCGTGTGTGTGTGTGTGTGTGTGAACAGGGCTGTGGGAAATGTGTCAGGGGATCACTATAACTGAATATGGCACGGCCAATTTATTTAGGACAAGCGCAAATGGGCGGAGGAGCAGATAAAAGACAAGCATCCCACTGTCCCCCACAGCCCCCACACCCACACCCCCCTCCTCTGCACCCCTGGAGTCTAAGGGGGTAATCACGGGCCCCTCCCTGACCCCAGGCCTCACAACAAACCGCTCTTTCTATCCCGGCTCCTGATAAGATTAAGGGCCCTCGGCCTTTTCAGTATCATTCCTCTAGTACACACACAGAGCCCCACCCTAGTCTGCCCCGGGGCCATTGTCCTCCCTGTGTGCGGGGCCCTCATTAGCATAGGGCCTGTGATCCTCTCGGAGCCCCTCTTGGAGCCCCTCTGTGAAGCCACCACAAGGGCACTGTTCATGGGAAACGCTGACATTATTGTGGGTGCCATGGAGACCACAAACGCACTCGTCACCAGCCCAGTGAGGGACAAACCAGACTGAAGTATGAACAACAGAAGCTTTCATTTAAAGGGCCTCTACATGTTTCCCATATAGATGAGCAGAGTCTGCCTTGCCCCAGATATAAGCTGCTCTTGATGTCAGAATAAGTCTGCTGTTTACTGTCCACATCTAATTATAAAATGTTTTATTGTCCAATAATTAGAAGTGCACATTAAAATGTTAGTTATTAGCTTTACTGTTAGGGCAAAACTCTGCTCTGATCTCTAAGAACTGAAAACTCTTCATAAACTCATCGTGGTGAATAGTCAGGATGCTCAGAATGTGTAAGGAAGTGAGGACCACCGCAAACCATTAAAAAATTAATTAGTTCTGGTTTGCAAAGTTTTTGTCCAGACGCTAACCTACCTAGGAGTCTGTGAACACTAAAGACTCAAAGTCTACACGGACACATGACCTGGCACTGAAATATAGTGAGAATGTTGTTTCCGGTGTTTTCTACATATTGCTAAACACCATGACGTGTTCTCACAGCCTCATGTCTCGTTATGTGCTGTCACCGTGTGTTCTAGTGGAGGGTTTGGTGACGTCCCTGAGCAGCAGTCAGAGAGACGTTAGTGATGTTAGCTACAGATCAGTGCCAGCTTAGTCATGTGTGATAAAACATATGCTTTACTCTGTTAGCTTTGTAACATTTAACCGAGCCTCACAGCGGCACTGGACAGACGAGGTAGTAATGCAGAACATCATTTAACTTCATGCTCCACTATGCCCACTGAGGCAAGCACAGCCGTCATCTGCACATTTGACTGATGTCATAGACATAGAACAGGAGATCTCACATTGACAACCGCCATCTACTGGAACAAATGTGTCAACAAAGCCACCATCTTAGTACAGGTACTTTGTACAGGGAGCTTTGTTATGGTTCCGAGTGTCAGAACAGGCCTGGAGATGCGCCCGCACAGACCATCGGGTAACAGCAGGCGAAAGGACCAGTGCAAGTCTCTCAAGTCCAAGATTAGTTCTAGTTTAGCCCTGGTTTAGTCCTGGTTTAGCCCTGGTTTAGTCCTGATTTAGACCTGGTTTAGTCTTGATTTAGACCTGGTTTAGTCTTGGATTAGACCCGGTTTTAGTCCTGGTTTAGTCCTGGGTATAGTCCTGGTTCAAACCTGGTTTAGTCCCAGATCACTCCTGGTTTACTCTTGGTTTAGTCTGTATGTGGCATCTTCCCTCAATGATTTAAAAAAAAAAAAAAAAAAAAAAAGAATTTGGTCAAATGCTGTTCAGTGACTTCAGATCATGGAAGCCCTGGGTGCGGTATTAACACACGGCAAGAGTCTGACCACGAGCTGTACCGTTCTATATCTATGGACTGATGTTTGACAGTGTCAGCTGTGCGTGCTGGGCCGTGCTTCTGTGCTCTGATAATGCAGCTCATTGTGTGTAATGAAAAAGGACCTCTCAAAGCGCCGCTCCACATTCTAATATCCTGTGCACGCTGATGGAGCCTCTATCTGGACTTAAAACTGTTGTTTTCTGGGAAATGGGCCATTTTGCAGTCCTCACTTATCTCCACTGTTTTGATCCAGTGCTCCAGACTGAATGAGAATGAGATGTTGTGCTCCTCTGATTAAAAGCAGACATTTTAGTGCATCAGTGTCTGTACCATGGAGCAGCCATTTTAATTCCACTCAGATCCAGCTGCCTGCACCAGCACACTTCACAATGGCCTTTGTGGAGTTTCAGTCAGAGTCCTGGGGCTGGTACCTGGGCACATGACTGTGCACGTGACTGTGCACGTGACTGTGCCCGTGACTGTGCACGTGACTGTGCTCGTGCATGTGTGTATGTGTGTGTGAGAAGGGGGTGAAACGTGCAGGTGATAGCAGGATGAGGACATGACAGACATGTTGGAAAATTGGGAAAGGCTTCAGAGGAAAGGATTTAAAGGGTTTGAGAAAATATAATTCTATAAAGATTTGGATCAACAGATGGATCAAAGCAGCTGATTTAGCTCTGTCTCCCATACTGAATGCACACCCAACATTTCCAGAATGATTTATAAGTCAAAGTCAAGTCCCATCAGGTCAGCACAGGCCTCATGGTCCTTGTAAAGAAACTGCTCATGATTCTGGATATGTTGCTGTGGCGCTGGGATGGGGAGACAGAGGGGACACTATTATCATACTCACTCAAATAGGCAGGGGCAAAGGGCACTCTGGAGCTGGGCCTGTAGGCCTCCAGCGGGCTCCACAGGGGGGTACCATGCTGCGGGCTGGGGAGGTGCTGATGGAGGTGATTGAGGGGCATCTCTTTGCCAAAGGTGGAGAATGACTGATCGGCCGTGAGCTGGGGACAGGCTAATACCTCAGTGTCTGGGACAGCGTCCATGCCGGGCACGTGGAGGTTACTGCGGTAGTCTGAGCCCTGGCGCTCAGCGGGCACAAAGGAGGGCATCCAGCAGCGGTCCGAGTGACCCAGCGCCTTGCACTCCTCTGTGCAGTTAGAGAACAGGTCTGCCCCTGCAAAAGGACAGTGACACTGCATGAACAATCACACATAACACACACAGGGACACAGGGACACAGTCACTGTGATCCTATAGTATGGCTCCAGGACACTATGGCTCCTCCACTATGGCTCCAGGACAAATTGCCTGAGCTGAAAAGGAAACAGTGAACTGTAGATCTTCAAAACCTGTAGCATTTCCTTTTGACGTTATTTGCCATGTGTTAATCATATCTGTTCAGAGAGCCAGAGCTTCTCACAGGGTCACTGAGTGTGTGGATGCTGTACGCACAATCACACACACAAGTGCACACACACACACACACACACACACTCGCCCATACAGTCACACAGTCACACACCACAAGTCCAGACCAGTGCTTTGCATTCACACACATTTCCATACTCAAATGTTCCTCGGAAGCTTCCCAGGACCAGGGTTAGGCACAGGCAAATTGTGGAAGTGCAGCGACCACAGCTCACACACACACACACACACCACACACACACCACCCACACACACACACACACACACACATCACACACATCACACACACACACCACACACATCACACACACCACACACACACACACCACACACACACACACACACACACACATCACACACACACACACACACACACACACACACACACACATCGCACACATCACACACATCACACACACACACATGCACACATCACACACATCACACACACACATCGCACACATCACACATCACACATACACACACATCACACACACACATCACACACATCACACACATCACACACACATCACACACAAATCACACACACACATCACACACATCACTCACACACAGCTCACACACAGCTCACACACACCTCACACAGCTCACGCCCCAGGCAGTGAGAAGGGATTGTGAGGGCATGGGCCTGGGGTTGGGCCTGGGCCTGGGGCTGGGGCTGTGTGGTGCTTCAGGTCTAGGTGACTGTGCTGCTCTTACAGCCCACATCAGCTTTAGCGTGTGGACAGACATTCACAGGTACTTTGTTAACATGGTGCATTGTCTGAGTCTTTTCATGGTCCTGTGCATGAATGAGCTCCGAGCTTCAAAGAGCTTCAAAGCGTGTGGTGGAGGTGCTGCAGGTGCGACGTGTACAGACCGGCACGTTGGCTGTCCTGGATTACCCAGCATTCCCTTTGTGCAGGTATTTGTGCAGGTGTGGGGCAGGAGCAGTAGACTGGTGCTGCTCCCTGTGGTGACGGCTCCACCAGCTGCAGCTCTGTGTGCGAGTGCGAAACGAACATGTCGCACCATTGCTCCACATGTGTGAGCCTCTGTGCCATGTTTGTCAGGCCTATGTGTGTGTGTGTGTGTGTGTGTGTGTGTGTGTGTGTGTGTGCGTGTGTGCGTGTGTGTGCGTGTGTGCGTGTGCGCGCGTGCGCGCGTGCGAGTGTGTGTGTGTGTGTGTGGGTGTGTGTGTGTGTGTGTGCTTGTATGCCTGTGTATGCCTTTGTGTGTGTGTCTGTGTCTGTGTGTGTGTGCGTGTGTGTGTCTGCGTGTGTGTGCGTGTGTGTGAAGTCCAGGCTGAGCTGTCCAGTGATCCTCCAAAGGAGATTAGGCTGTGTCTGCAGCGCTCAGCACACGGGGAATTTGCATTGTTACAAAGCCCATTCATTTGGCCATCGCTAACAGCCTGGAAAAGTGCCCAGTCTCTTAACAACAGAAATCCATATGTATAAATATGTTCACAGAATTATAGTAAAGCACCAAGACCAAACATGTGCCCAAAAGAGCCACACACACTGACAGAGTGTGAACATCATACGGCTCATGTTGGGAAAGTTCATCTCAGCTGAAGGTGTGTCATTTCAATCGTAGAAAAAAACCCCAAAGAGGTGTTTGTGTGTTTATGTATGTGTGTGTGTGTGTGTGTGTGTGTGTGTGTGTGTGTGTGTGTGTGTGTGTGTGTGTGTGTGTGTGTGTGTGTGTGCGTGCGTGCGTGTGTGTGTGTAGGTGTGTGTGTGTGTGTGTGTGCGCTACATCTGAGCAATTAATAGAAAGATGGGAGACGGTGAATCAGTCATATCTAATGGTCAATAATGAGAATGAGGTTATAGGTTCGAGAATGGAGAGGTCCACACCAGACCTCTGTTAGAAAATCATCTGGAACGGAGCAGAGTTAAGACTTTGGAGGAAGAAATGCGATACATTTTTTTGTGTTAAATGACAAATAGAAAATTAAAAGAGCACTGTTTGTGTTCATGAAATCAATGCTGAGAGACATTTTTATTTTTAAAAAATCTAATCAATCAATCTAATCTAATCAAAAATCAAAATTGAAAAAAAAGTGATTTGTGTGTGTGTGTGTGTGTGTGTGTGTGTGTGTTTGGGGGTGCGGGGTGTGACCCTGGCTCCACTCCTCGGCTCACATCAGCATGCAGCTCTGGGCAGCACTGGCCCAACCTAAAGAGCCTATAATAACCTTCACTTGGTAATTGGTATGCAGAGGTCTGAGGAATGAATTAGTGATCAGCGAGCTGTTACTGCGGCGATAACGTGCCACGCAGGCCTGAGGAGGAATTTATCAGACGACGGCCCCTCCCCCTCCCCTCTGCGCCGCTCCACCGCTACAAAAGTGTCCGACTGAGAGAGGGGCCATTATTTCACATGTTTTTACTCAAACGTATTATAACTAATGTTGTCACGATACTAACATTTCAAACTCTATACCAATTCCAGTACCACAATGAAAATGAAATGGGAAAAAAAAACTCTCTTTCTTTAGACAATACAATGTAGGAAAGGTTCAGGAAAGGTTCATTTCTGTCCTGTGAGTGTGACTTTCTTAGTATCGTTAAATGTTCAGATGAGACAGTTCTCAAATGCATTTGTGTTTGCTTCACATGAGCAGTGTTGGGAAGGTTACTTTTAAAATGTTACTTTTAAAATGTATTCCCCTACAGATTACAGATTACATACCCCAAAATGTAGTTTGTAATGTGATCCATTAAATTACTTAAAGTGAGTAATGTAATCTGAATACTTGGGATTACTTTGATATTGTTACGCGAGAAAACATGGTCCACACATGGCACACAGGAGGACGGCGGTGTCCGTGCAGTACGGAAGGAGACATGGTCTGCACGTTCTCAGGTTGATAACGATGATGAAGGTGTGTGTTTATGTGTGTTTGTGGGTGTTTGTGGGTGTTTGTGTGCATGTCCCCTCGTGTGGTAGGTTACTGTAAGACAGAAGCCTTCTGGAGAATATCATGAGCCTATGCAGGTTGTTTTCTCCATTGCCAATAGCTCCAGTTTGACATTTAACTTGTAGGTTATTTTATATCTCACGTCGGGAGAAGTGGGTGGTCGGCGTGCTCCCATGTACCCCGCCCACCATAGGCCCGTCCCTCTCTTCTTTAAATACAAAGTGATGTCTGAATTTCCAAGACACAAATGTGTTTTTGCCCGTGCACTGCTGGTTCTGTTCTACTCGCTCCTCGACCTCGTCCATTGTGTGACCGACGCCACCAACATTAACATGACGTTTACATCGCTCTTATGGTGCGTTCTGTTTGGGTTTCCGGCAATGAGTGGATTATTTACCAAAATAAATTTACAAAATTTAAATAAGAGGTCGAGCCCAAAATGTGTAAACAGGAAAATACCGCCATGTATTTTATGTATGTATTTATTTCAACAAAGTAACTGTAATCCAATTACCTCTCATTGAAACAGTAACTGTAACTGAATACAGTTACTCATAATTTGTACTCTGATTACGTAACACTGGTACATGTAATCTATTACTCCCCAACACTGCATATGAGCTGATGAGAGAGTGACACTGGGCTCACTGCTACTGACAAACTCATTGGACAGAGCGCTGCAGACACACCACACACAGCCAAGATACTATCAAATTAATGCATTAGTCTTACACAAGACGCTCAAAGTCACTTTACAATTTCCTGCATAATTCATTCACTCCGTACACAGTGGTGGTAAGATACTATTGGTAGTTTTCAGACTCTAGAATGTGATGATGTCGTACTCGCACGCAGGGGCCAAGGGCCAGTTTTCCCTGTTGATTACATTGTACTTTGCCATAAAATATCCAAAAGGTAAATGCACAAATGTTCAACTTGGTATTTTCTATTATAGACCAAATCCAAGAATTAAGCGTATTTTGACATAATTTTGCGTTTTTACAATTTTTAATTAATATTGGGCCATAGAATGCAGTGATGTTATCTGAAACTCAGCAGTTATAGCCACAGCTGCCCTGGGGCAAACAGAATCAAAGCTACAAATCTGTTCCTTCGGCCCCTCTGTCCACCACCATCACTAATTCACACCCTACTTTCATACTACGCAATGTGGGTGAAGTGTCTTGCCTAAGGACACAGCAATGCTTTTGTCATTGGCGGCCCACTATGACACCTGATTTCCCCAATGGTACTCCATCCAAGTACTAACCAGGCTGTGTCCTGTCGATTTGAGCTACTCATCGATTCGAGTTTCCTGACACTACTGTGTGTGTGTGTGTGTGTGTGAGCACGACCCCCAAGCATTGTTCCAGTTTATGTTGTCAATCTGAGCTCCCGAGGCGGAAGTGAAGTAACAAGTGACATTTTAAAAGTGTATTGGTTTTATTGTCTGTTTGTTCAGTTAAACATTGACGTGTGTGTGTGTGTTAAATTTGAGGCAGAAAACCTACATTAGATGATTGAATAGTTTGGATTTAATATTTGATTTTATTATTTTCATTATATCGTATTTTATTTTGTTTCCATGTTTAGAAAACATTGTAACTTTGTTTAGAAAGGTGCTGTAGAAATAAAATATCACTATATTATAACAGGAAATTCACACTGTAGCCTGTGATATTTATTTAATATAAAGATTTCAGTGTTTCCAGTCATTTCTTTCTCTTCTATAGTGGGAGCCTTATTTGATAGAAGATATCAGCCTGTCAAAATGAGCTCCTCTACCCAAATTCAGCTAAATAGTGAAAAATGGACATTCTACGGTGGGAGCTTTATTCCATGGCTAAATTATCCTGTTATATGTGCTCTCTTTAGTCGGAGCCTATTTGAGCAGAATACAACTGTCCAAATGAACTACCTATGCAGATTCATATAAATGAGTTGAAATTTGACGTAACTAAGGTATAAAGTGTGATCACCGTGTGTAAACAGCATCAAACCTGCATCTCTAATCCAAAGAAATATGTTGTAAAACTGGGGAGGTCAGGCTTTATTGGATCTATACAACTCTACAACTTAAAATGTAAAGTAGCTTATTTCGACTGGGTAGTGTCAATCAATAGACGTCACTGTCGATTTAGGCTGCATTTCGACGGGGCAGTCCATTTCAACAGAACACCAGCCCTGCTGAGCTTCTGCGGAGGTTTAGCCACAGATATCTCTTATCTTATCTGGTGGTGGAAACAGTACTGGAAAGGTGTACTCAAGTAAAAGTACAATAATATGTAAGGTTGTCAAATGTATCAAAAATCTGATACTAAACAACACCAAAAACTAGTATCAAATCAATCAAAAATAGGCAGAAATAGACTAGTATACACCCATGGACCACTATGGAACCTACTGGACCACTGAGGATCACACACGAGTCCGGTCAAGTGGTAACGGAGGGAAACGGGCAGATTTTTGACATTCAAATGTCTCTTATTCAGAAACTAGAGGGACTATTGAAACAAGTAAAGTATCAGAATGTAGGAAAGAGTTACACTCCAACAGGGTCAAGTTAAACCTGTGATATTCTTTCAAGTTGTTGACAAAAAATTTAAAAACTCATGTCGGTAACGGAGGGAATGAAATATGCAGCACTTTTTGGGCAATAAATCCAAACAGTGATAACTCTTGGTTCTCACTTACATATCCTTAACAAACTGGTTTGAATATTTGCTTCATATAGTTTTCTACCATATGGTACAAGATTAGGTTGAAAAACCTCTTACTTTTTGACTAATGAGAATTTTTATGAAGAAAAGTCATGGTAACGGAGGGAAAAGTAACAGAGGGAAAATTGTTCAAACAAGTAGAAGGTGCAGGATTTTACATCATTTGTCAACTTTTTTCTTCTGAATACTTTAATATTACTTCAAAATGAAAAGTAACTATTTCTATAAAATATGTCAGTCCTTCCAAGCAAATTTTTTTCATTTTAAATACTTTTTTTTTTTTAAAAGCATGTACCTTCATCAACAGTTCAAAGATGGAATAACACAAGATATGATGAAATACATCCATTTATTGACATGATTTGCAGGTCTTTGAAATTTGGGAAATAATTTTTGTTCCATGTTTCATACATGGTCTGTTTAAAATGTATGGAACTTTAGAACCAAAAATGGTACAGAAAAAAGGTCAACAGAATTGAATTTTTGGCCTTGCTATTTACTTCTGCTTGACCGGGCCCATATATAAGAACACATGGGAATAGAAAAGAAAGTTTGATCGAGTCTATTCCTGAGTATTAAAATGGAGTTTGAGATTTTAGTATCGTGACAGCATTCGGCCCTCACCACTTTAAAAGAGTCTATACAAAACACTCGTCATGTTGCATATGTTAAAAATCACTATTTGGATGTGATGTAGTTAAGATGGAGGAAATGTCCCCTGCGTATGTGTGTGTGTGTTATGGTGTGTGTGATGGTGTGTGTGTGTAGAGCAGGGAGCATTAGCGTGTGGACAAATGAATGGTGTCTTTAGTGTGCAGCACAGAGCGGACTGGCCGTGCTACAGGAGCCTCTTACAAAGCGTCTCACGTCCCTAGGGCCCTGCTCCCACATCACTGACATTAACAGCACTCAGATTTACCACCGCATCCCAGGGCAGTGAAGCAGCCTCACAGAGCACACGCACGCACAAACAACCTCACAGAACACACACGCACACACACAAACAACCTCACAGAACACACACACACACAACCAGCCTCACAGAACACACACACACACACAAACAACCTCACAGAACACACACACAAACAACTCACAGAACACACACACACAAACAACCTCACAGAACACACACACACACAACACACCTCACAGAAACACACACACACACAACACTCACAGAACACACACACACACACAAAACAAACACACACAAACAACCTCACAGAACACACACACACAAACAACACAGAAACACACACTCACACAACAACACAGAACACACACACACACCTCACAGACACACACACACACACACAAACAGCCTCACAGAACACACACACACACACAGAACACACACACACACACAAACAACCTCACAGAACACGCACACACACAAAACAACCTCACAGAACACACACACACACAAAACACCTCACAGAACACACACACACGCACACACTCACAGAACCTCACAGAACACACACACACACAAACAACCTCACAGAACACACATACACACACAAACAGCCTCACAGAACACACACACAAACAGCCTCACAGAACACACACACACACAAACAACCTCACAGAACACACACGCACGCACAAACAACCTCACAGAACACACAACACAAACAGCCTCACAGAACACACACACAAACAGCCTCACAGAACACACACACAAACAGCACACAACACACACACACACACAACAGCTCACAGAGCACACACACACACAAACAACCTCACAGAACACACACACACAAACACCTCACAGAGCACACACACACACACACACTCACAGCCTCACAGAGCACACACACACAAACAGCCTCACAGAGCACACACACACACACAGCCTCACAGAGCACACACACACACACAAACAACCTCACAGAGCACACACACACAAACAGCCTCACAGAGCACACACACACACACAACCTCACAGAGCACACACACAACCTCACAGAGCACACACACACACACAAACAGCCTCACAGAGCACACACACACACACACAACCTCACAGCACACAGACACAACAACCTCACAGAGCACACACACACACAAACAGCCTCACAGAACACACACACACACAAACAGCCTCACAGAGCACACACACACAAACAAGCCTCACAGAGCACACATCACACAAACAGCCTCACAGAGCACACACACACAAACAGCCTCACAGAGCACACACACACACACAAACAGCCTCACAGAGCACACACACACACAAACAGCCTCATGGAGTGCATCACAACAGGTTCAATAACTGCTCACACATACATACACACACACACAGTACACACAGTCTCACACAAGCACACATACACACACTCGCACAGTTTCACACATCCTTATATTACACTGACATTCCTTTCATTTCCAGGAGGGATTTTTTGTTTGTGTGTTTTTTGGTCAGTTTGGTTTCTTAACAAAGAAGCGTTCATGTGGAAACAACAAAACTGTCCAATAAACACACAAAATGTTCTTTTATTTCATTTCACGGTTCATGACCTGCCTCCATAGACAATGTCATTTCAAAGGCCGTTTGCTCAAAATGCATTTTTATCCCATAAAGACATTAGAATATAAAGTAGCACCTACACACATGCCAAACTTTACAGTCTTGTATTTAACAAGATTTTGATAATATTTTCATATTTAATTCCAAGGCTGATTTATTAAAGTTTTAAGTTTTAAAAAATGAGGAAAAATGAATTTATTCTCTAATATGAATATAATATAACAAAATAAATCAATAACTTTAAGCTTAGCTCTTTCTGTCATGCCCCAAAAATTGTAAATTTTTTCGACACTACGCACTGCACACTACACACACTACACTGCACACTACACTGCACACTGCACACTACACACTGCACACTACACACACTACACTGCACACTACACTGCACACTGCACACTACACACTGCACACTGCACACTACACACTGCACACTACACTGCACACTACACTGCACACTGCACACTGCACACTGCACACTACACTACACTGCACACTACACTGCACACTGCACACTACACTACACTACACACTACACTGCACTGCACACTACACTACACACTACACTGCACACTACACTGCACACTACACACACTACACTGCACACTACACTGCACTGCACACTACACTACACACTACACTGCACACTACACTGCACACTACACTGCACACTATACTATATACTATACACCAGTTGGGAGCAGACACATTGGCAGTAGCAGACACATAGCAGTACTAGTATGTGCAGTAGTGGGAGTATTTCTCACCAGAGGAGTGTCCCCGGTGTGTGGCGTCGTGGTCACTGTCCCCCTGCTCACTGTCTCCATGACCACTGTCCTTAGAGCTGACCAGGTCTGCCTCCTGGAACGCTGAGCTGTAACACACACAGAACACACACACACACACAGATGAGCAAAATTGTAGGCTACACACTCTCTCATTTATTGGTTTTCATGTTTATTATTTTCTCCATTTTGAACACACAGAAGATTACACATATATAATGTATGATCTATGGAATTATGAAGTAAGGGAAAAAATGTGAAATATCTTAAATTAAAAATTTTGTTTTATATTTTATATTTAAATCCTCCACCCTTTGTTTTCTTTGTTGACAATTAATATTCATATTAATATGAATATTAATATGTTTTTATAAATTATAACTATTGTGAAATTTAGGCAAGTTTTGGCACTTGCTTACATTATGGTAGCTAGGTAACACACCTTTATGTATGGCCTATCTGCTGCCCGCATTTAAAAATGAGATCTATAATTTTCCCCAAAAAAGATTTGTAGTGAATTCTTAAATCTAATAATGGGGATGGGCTAACTAGGGATGGGCTGAGTTCTCGGATCAAATTGCCACGAGACTGTGCACGCACAGGAAAAACCATCTCACCAGATTTCTTCCTCCGGCTTTACGTTTGGCACAGACATGAGGGTTATGCCTGCTCAAGCTCCAGAAAGTTGAATATCATAAAAGACTCCTTCACACAGAGACGTGTAGCGCACATATTCAGACAGAGAACACTTTAAACTCTGTCTCAGTTTTTATTTCGTAGAGATAGGATCAACACTGAGGCAGAGCTAAAGTTGGTTATAGAAGATGGTAAAATAATATGATCACATATTTCGCATCTAATTCACCTGCAAACTGTGCAGAGCATGCGGTGTTTTCCATATTGAACTTTGTTTGAAAAAAATCCACAAAGATATTTAGACCTTCTTCATCCATAATTTTAAAGTTTAAAGTAAGAAAGAAGGAGAGAGATGCGCTCCTCCTCTGTATCCCTCTGCACTGTGCATGTAGAGCAGCAGTAGAGGGAGAGAAGCACTTCAGTTTTAGCTTAATCATTTCAATAGTACAAATGAAGTGTAACAGACATATTGTATATTAAATGCATTGTAATAATCAGTAGTGATGCATGTGGGGGTTTACACTGCACAACTGGTGTTAAAAGTAGAAAAGCTGTTTAGTGCATTTAGGCAACGACATGAAAATGACTTAATTTTGTCTTCTTTTTTTTTTTTTTTTTTTTTTTTTTTTTTTTGATAGCTCTATCAGCACATAACCTATATTCAAAATACAATGTTATTTTAAAAATCCAATTAATCTCATCTTGTTCCCGTGGACCCCGATCTCGTGTCTCATCTCGTTCCATCCTCATGTGAACTACGTTTTAGAGAAACGAGTCTAACCTGTCGCATGCACTTAACACACATAATAACACGTGATATGCAAAATATACATGATATTTTCTATGTAAATCACACTATGTAAATGGACCTTGTTCAAATGCAGATTTGTGTTGTGAAGCATTTACCTTTTGGATATTTCATGGTAAAAAAGAGGCTTTTGTGGTCAAAACAGTGTGTCTGTGTGTACGGTGTGCAGTGTGTGTGTGCAGTGTGCAGTGTGTGTGTGCAGTGTGCAGTGTGTGTGTGCAGTGTGCAGTGTGGGTGTGCAGTGTGTAGTGTGTGTGTGCTGTGTGCAGTGTGCTGTGTGCAGTGTGCTGTGTGTAGTGTGCAGTGTGCTGTGCATAGTGTGCTGTGTGCAGTGTGCTGTGTGCAGTGTGCTGTGTGTAGTGTGCAGTGTGTAGTGTGCTTTGTACCTGTTTACTCGTCTGGGTCGGTCCACCAGGTAACTCAGCTCTGAGCGTGGGTGTTTAGTCTAAAACACAGAGGGCACAGTGTTTAGGGACATACACCGAGTGGGCACGAAAGCAGGCACAACCAGACACACACACACTGTCCTCAGAGCTGGCACAACCAAACACACACTGTCCTCAAAGCGGACACAACCACACACACACACTGTCCTCAGAGCAGGCACAACCACACACACACACTGTCCTCAGAGCGGGCACAACCACACACACACTGTCCTCAGAGCGGGCACAACCACACACACACTGTCCTCAGAGCGGGCACAACCAGACACACACTGTCCTCAGAGCGGGCACAACCACACACACACACTGTCCTCAGAGCGGGCACAACCACACACACACACTGTCCTCAGAGCGGGCACAACCACACACACACTGTCCTCAGAGCGGGCACAACCACACACACACTGTCCTCAGAGCGGGCACAACCACACACACACACTGTCCTCAGAGCGGGCACAACCACACACACACTTGTCCTCAGAGCGGGCACAACCACACACACTGTCCTCAGAGCGGGCACAACCACACACACACACTGTCCTCAGAGCGGGCACAACCAAACACACACACTGTCCTCAGAGCGGGCACAACCACACACACACACTGTCCTCAGAGCGGGCACAACAACACACACACTGTCCTCAGAGCGGGCACAACCACACACACACTGTCCTCAGAGCGGGCACAACCACACACACACACTGTAGGAGGGCCCAGCTCCACCAGGGGAGTATTTCCATCACAATGGGCCCAGGCTGTTTTGGGTGTTACACAGGTTTTGAAAGACACACCCAACGGTGTGTCAGCTGTCAAAAGACTGGAGAATCAATACAGATCAATGTTTAAACATTACTCAAAAGCACATACATGTAAATGAACCAGCATGCACAGCTGATCCTCACATTTTAACTTTGTTTCACGCTTATGTTTCACTTTTCAGTAGTAGCTTGCCACCACTGAGTGTGGAGTGAATGAATAATAAAAAAAAAAAGTAAAGCACTTTGGGTATCTTGAAAGGTGCTATATAAATGCAATGATTCATTAATTGATTCATTTATTTTTTTCCGTAAAAGCAAATACATCGCCGCAGAGCACATGCTGTAGTTTTGATCAATAACTTTACTCTTTTACTATGCAGTTACTTGTATGCAGGTGGAGGTTTATTATACGTTTGGCTGCATCTTTCCTCACATGTCGTCCACACTGTATTTATACACCACATTTGGGATTTACACTTTTACCAGGACCAAGGAGGAGGTTCGTGGAGTTTGGTTTATGTTCAACTTTACCTGGACACAGTAGACTTTGACTAAATGTGGATTTATTATTACGCACTTTAGCTTTAAGACACTGTAGATGGCCCGCTCTGAATATTGGATGTGTTTTCAGTTTCAGTTACATGGTTGGCATTATTTACATGCTGCCCCGTGTGCGTCGCTATTGGAGTGCTGCTGATTATCCAACGACTTTCAAAGTGGTCCCGTACTGGCCCTAAGGAAATGATGCTATAGTCACTACTTGCCTCAGGCTTACAGGTGAATTGGCTCAAATTACCTTGCATCAATTAAAAATGAACTTTTTACTGCAAGTTTTTAAAAAATCTACCTTGATAAAGCTAATATTTAATATTTAGTGTGTGGCTTTAAGGATCTTAGCATGAATAAAGACTTTAGAAAAAGACGTTAGAATGATGGTTCATTCTAACGTGTTAAACATGCACATATTTCAATTATTCACTGTACTGAGCACCAGTCTACGGCCCTTGATCAGCCCTCTGATTCGTCTGTGCTTAGATATGTGGCCCTTGATGAAAAAAGTTTCGACACTCCAGTTTTATAGGTTTCAGTGTATTGTTTTGTATCGTGCTTTTGTATATTTTGTGGGCGGAGCTGTGTACAGAATCTTACAGCTAACCATAAGAAGAGTTTGAACAGGGCACAGGAGAGATCACTAAAACACTCTAACAACTAACAACTTAACTATAACATGCCCCCTATTTGAGTAAACTTAGATCAACTAAACCCTGTGGAAAAATGTACTGTACTTAAGGGATAAAAATATAGTTCCCCCTCAATAGTAATAATAATGGATTTAGGTCCCAGCAATGGAGGAAGGTCCCCCCCGCACACACACACACACACGCACACACTAGTGCACATAGAAGTGCAGTATGTGAAGGTCAAAGGACACAGGTTAGGAACTGCTGGATTCTGTGACGTGAGCTGTTTGTTTTTCCTGTATCCATGAAGATCATGCATGAGGCAGAGGAACTAGCTCCGGATATTTGAGCTGCTACAGGATTTTTACTCCTTGTGTGGCAGCAAATGTGGCAGAAGACCTTCCACAGGAAATACTCCAAGAGTTTCCACAAGAAACACTTTGAGTGAACGAACCATATTGTCACCAATCGAAATACCAGAAGTAAGAATGAGGCCTTTCCTGTTGTGGTCACCTGGCTCCCCCTGGACTCTCCTGTGACGCTGCAGGACACTGAGGAGGGACACTTTGGGCTCTTCCACAGGATCTGCTGACCCTCCCTGACCAGTCCTCCTGTTAAACTGACCTGAGACCTTTGACTGAGACACAAAGGACACAGACACACAGTGGAAATGTTGCAGCAGTAAAACCTTAATTTCTCTCGGGATCAATAAAGTAAATCTCTGTTATGAGTGAAACACTGGACGTCATTTAGAGCATGGACATAGCTCGTGTTTCTGCTGATAGTGGGAGTGTGCTCATGCACGAGTGCCTGTCGCTACGGGTAACACATGTATGTTTAATATTTTCTATAAACTCCTTCCAACTTTTAAATGTGAATTATTGGTTCTATCAAGACGAAATAACAACTGCAGTGATCCTGACACCTGCCCTTTATGTCTCAAGTCCACACGTCTATGTTTTTAATAAGATGGAAGAAGAATGAATCAAAAATTAACTGATTAAGATCGATCAATATACGTGATTCTTTTTTCCCATATCACCCTGCCCTACTGTGAATGTTACTCACTGTTTTCAATCAACAGCAGCATTTCTGTCACTTCTACTTCCAACTTCCAATGCCTCAGATACTGTTTGTTATAAACAGCGCTGAGTAGAACTCAGTTACTTTCATTCGTTTTTGTAGCAGCATATTTTTACTCCCTAATGTTTTTATTGAAGTAATAGCACTCTTACTTGAGTAAAAGTGGTTACTCTTCCCACTGTGTTTAAGACTACACGTGACAAAAGCTTTATGTCAGGCATGTCCAAACTATGGCTCGGGGGCCAAATGTGGCCCTCGGACCAATACTTACTGGCCCTCAGACTGCTGAATTGGCCCAAATGACCAAAAATGAAAATGTTGAAAATATGCCAAACACACACACACACACACACATTTTGATGTGATACAGTCTTAGCAGAAATGTTCCATGAATTATTAAATTTGTGATGTCTTGGTCAAACATATGTCAAATGCAACATTTTAAAAGATTCAGTTAATTGTCCTACAGTATCTGGCCATTCACTCTCTGTATGTTTCAATATGAGTCCCTCCACCACTCCTTCAGATATGATGTAGATTTTATCCATTTTTAATGATTCATTAATTATAAC